GGTGGACCTACGTTTGGCTGAACGGTCCAGGGAACGTGGATCTTATGCTCGCACGTCCACCCCGTTGGTTAGTGAACCTCTCCCGGAGACCAGAGCACCCAAATCACCTCCTACTTCTCCCTCTCTTCCTGCAGAGGAGCCGATGCAGTTGGGCCGCAGCCACATTACTCCCTCTGAGCGTGAGAGGCGGCGAAGAGGACATCTGTGCTTCTATTGTGGGGGGGCTGGTCACACCATCTCGACGTGTCCGGTAAAAGGGCACGCTCAGTAAGCTTGAGGAGAGGTTTACTGAGCAGGGCTTTTTCTTCAACACTCTCCTCATATGTGACTCAAGCTGCTACTCTCTCCGTTCCGGGTAAGACCCCAATTTCTGTAAGGGTTTTTATTGACTCTGGTGCTGACACGGAGTTCATGGACATTGATTTTGCTGTTAAAGCGGGTTTTAAAATCATTGAGTCAGCCAAAGAACATTCTGTGGTGGCTTTAGATGGTCATCCCCTGAACTCCTCTTCACAGTTTACTGAGCCCATAATTCTGCATGTGGGGGGTAATCATAGAGAGACTGTCAGTTTCCTCATCATTAATTCTCCCCAGGCTCCAGTGGTGTTAGGTGCTACCTGGCTTCGAAAACACAATCCCCACATGGACTGGAGAAGAGGGGAGATTTTGGGTTGGGCTGAGGAGTGTTTATCATCTTGTTTATTGGACGCTGTTATCATGAAGGACTCTGCTAAGAACTCTGTAGACAACTACCCTGACCTCTCTAAGATCCCCTCCGAATACAACGATCTTAAAGAGGTATTTAATAAGGCTAAGGCTACATCTTTACCACCTCATCGGCCTTATGATTGTGCGATCGACCTTCTCCCTGGTTCCACACCCCCTAGGGGACCTCTTTATTCTCTTTCTATCCCCGAGCAACAATCTATGAGGGATTACATCCAGGAATCCCTCCAAGCAGGCATTATTCGTCCTTCCGTCTCTCCGGCCGGGGCAGGTTTCTTTTTTGTAGGCAAAAAGGACGGTTCTCTCCGCCCTTGTATCGATTACCGCGGTCTTAATCAGATCACCATAAAAAATAAATATCCCCTACCTCTCATGAACTCGGCTTTTGACCTCCTACAAGGAGCTAAAGTCTTCACCAAACTAGATCTCCGCAATGCCTATCATCTAGTTCGTATTCGGGAAGGAGATGAATGGAAGACCGCCTTCAATACCCCCACAGGTCACTACGAGTACCTAGTCATGCCTTTTGGGTTAACCAATGCTCCCGCAATTTTTCAAAATCTGGTCAATGATGTTTTGAGGGATATGGTTAACCAGTTTGTTTTCGTTTATTTAGATGATATACTTATTTTTTCTAAAGATCTGTCTACCCATCGCAAACACGTCCGCGCAGTACTCACTCGTCTTCTTCAAAACGGCTTATATGTTAAAGCTGAAAAATGTGAGTTTCATGTTTCCACCACTTCGTTCCTCGGTTTCGTTATTTCCCCAGACAAGATGGAGATGGACTGCAATAAAATTGCGGCGGTTTTGGATTGGCCGACCCCAAAAGATCGTAAACAACTCCAGCGGTTTTTGGGGTTTGCTAATTTTTACCGACGATTTATTAAAGGGTTCAGTCTCATTTCTAGACCTCTTCATGCATTAACATCCACTAAGTCACGTTTCATGTGGTCCTCAGAGGCTGAAGAAGCCTTTTGTAAATTAAAGACCCTCTTTTCATCGGCTCCCATTCTACAGGCCCCTAACCCAGAAGAACCTTTCATTGTGGAGGTGGACGCCTCCAGTACTGGGGTGGGGGCCATTATCAGCCAGCGTAGCAAGGAGGGTCGACTTCATCCTTGTGCTTTTTTTTCTAGGAGCTTGTCAGCACCGGAACGCAACTACGATGTGGGGGATCGAGAGTTGCTGGCTGTCAAGCTCGCATTGGAGGAGTGGCGTCATTGGCTGGAGGGCTCCAGATTCCCATTCCAAGTGTGGACTGATCATAAGAATCTGGAGTATCTCAGGTCGGCCCGCCGTTTAAACCCTCGTCAGGCCAGGTGGGCACTCTTTTTCTCTCGATTCAATTTTACCTTGTCTTTTCGTCCTGGGGAGAAAAACGTGAAACCCGATGCTCTGTCCCGTCTCACCGAAGATGACTCTTCTTCTCTTTTAGAGGAACAGGGGTTCATTCTGCCCGAGTCGACCCGCCTGGCCATGACGCGTCTCGAGGCTGACCTGAGAGCATCCAGTAGGTCTCGTTCTCCTCCTCCTGGTTGTCCTGAAAACCGCCTCTTTGTTCCCCCACACATGATTAAAGAGGTGCTCGAATTTTGTCACTCTTCCCACCTTTTCTGTCACCCAGGTCTCACTAAGACTCTTGCTGTGGTTAGGTCACAGTTTTGGTGGGATTCTTTGTTTAAAGACGTTCAGTCTTTCGTCCGATCATGTCCCCTATGTTCTCAGGTTAAATCCTCCAGGCGTCCTCCTGTTGGACTGCTTCGTCCTCTCCCCATCCCAAAACGTCCTTGGTCCCATATTGGGATGGACTTTATTACTGGTCTCCCTGTCTCTGAGGGTCATTCAGTCATTCTCACAATTGTCGATCGCTTTTCCAAGATGACCCACCTGGTTCCCCTTCCTAAACTTCCTTCCTCCAAGGAATTGGCCCACATCATGGCCAAGGAGGTATTCAGACTGCATGGACTCCCCCTCGACATAGTTTCTGATAGGGGTCCACAGTTTGTTTCCTTATTTTGGAAGGAATTTTGTGGTCTTCTTGGGATATCCATCAGTCTCTCTTCAGGCTTCCATCCTGAGACTGATGGTCAAACTGAGAGGACCAACCAGGAGGTGGAGAACAAATTGCGCCTTCTGTGTAATACCGACCCTGAAAAGTGGTCCTCTGCTCTACCATGGGTCGAACACTCCCTTAATTCTCTTCCCTCTTCAGCTACCGGTCTCTCTCCTTTCTACGTGGTTTTTGGTTTTCAACCCCCAATCTTTTCCCTTCAAGAACGCGAGGCTGTGGTCCCCTCTGCTCATCTGATGGCTCTCAAATGTCGTAGAGCCTGGAGGAGAGCCAGACGTGCGCTGCTTAAAACGACGGCGGTTTATTGCAAGAAAGCTGACCGCCGTAGGTCTAGTCAGCCCATCTATAAAGTGGGCCAAAACGTCTGGCTCTCCACTAAGAACCTTCCCCTCAAGGCCCAGTCTCGCAAACTTGCTCCCCGTTTTATTGGTCCTTTTCCTATTTCTAAAATTATTAATCCTGTCGCTGTCCGTCTCTCCCTGCCCAAGTCATTTCGCGTACATCCCTCCTTTCATGTCTCCTGCATCAAACCGGTCACCTCGTCTAGATTTCACACTCACGTTCGTT